TGGGCAGCCACAGGCAGTCGCCCCTTTTGTTTACACTTAAACATATGAATGGAGACACAGACAATTAGGCTAAGGAGATTCCAGGAAGAGACAGGAAGAACCTTATCTCACTGCTAAACTTCTCACAGAGATGATGTAGATAATCAGTCACACCTCTGTTAAGAGGAAGAACCTTATCCGAACTCTTTAGTCTTTTTGATATGTAAATCTTTTGTGCTCCTTCTTGTATACAACTGGTCATGTTTAAATACTACTGGGTTTGTTGAATAAAGGAGCCTTGATCAGGACTTGTCTTGGCTCCATTCTTTGCATCCTTGTCCCCTCATTCCCACTTTCTGTTTCAGGAAACCCGGTTCTTTGTGCTGCAGGCCAGCACACATCATGCCAATGAACTTTGACAAATGGACATAACTCATTGTCCTTTGTCAAAATCCTTCTCTTATTTACATGTTATTATTATTTTTTTTAACTTTTATTTAATGAATATAAATTTCCAAAGTACGAGCTTATGGATTACAATGGCTTCCCCCCCATATCGTCTCTCCCACCCGCATCCCTCCCCTTTCCCATTCCCTCTCCCCTTCCATTCACATGAGGATTCATTTTCGATTCTCTTTATATACAGAAGATCAGTTTAGCATACATTAAGTAAAGATTCAACAGTTTGCTCCCACACAAACATAAAGTGAAAAATAATAGATGATTTTTTAAATGATGATGAAATCAGATCAGACCTATTGTCATGTTTAATCCCAGTGAGAGTCAAGTTGGGAATTGATAATTTCTTTCTTTTTTTTTTTTTTTACAGAAGATCAGTTTAGTATACATTAAGTAAAGATTTCAACAGTTTGCACCCCCATAGAAACACAAAGCGAAATATACTGTTTGAGTACTCATTATAGCATTAAGTCTCAATGTACAGCACATTAAGGACAGAGATCCTATATGAGGAGTAAGCGCACAGTGACTCCTGTTGTTGACTTTACAAATTGACACTCCTCTTTATGGCATCAGTAATCTCCCTATGCTCCAGTCATAAGTTTCCAAGGCTTTGGAAGCCTTTTGAGTTATCTGACTCTTATCTTGTTTAGACAAGGTCATAGTCAAAGTGGAGGTTCTCTCCTTCCTTCAGAGAAAGGTACCTCCTTCTTTCAAAGTAAGCACATAAACAAGTCTAGTACCTGCTAATACTAACCGATAGAATAAATAAAGGGGAGAGTGATCCAACCTGGGAAGCGAGATACTCAGCAGACTCATAGAATGGTGGATGTCCTAAACAGCACTCTGGCCTCAGAATCAGCCCTAAAGGCATTCCGATCTGGCTGAAAAGCCCATGAGAGTATTTCAGGCATGGAAAGCCAAGACACTCTGGCAAAAAAAAAAAAAAATAAAAAATAAAATAAAATAAAACCCTAAATGAAAGATCTCTGTGAGTGAGATCCCAGTGGAAAGAACAGGTCTTCAAAGAAGGAGGTACCTTTACATGTTATTATTAATACCCATTCAGATTACATTTGGACAACTCCACTTAAAGGAGAATTGTTATGCCCAGTTCAGTTGTCCCCAAAGGCTACCAAGGAGCTGATACTGGTGTAAAGCACAGGATAGTTTTATTGCAGGTCTGGACCTGGACTCTCAATCAACACCGAAGCAGTGGGTCTGAATTGAGAGCCCCGACCCTTCAGTTAACAGGGTTTTTATAGGGTGCCAGAGACATTCTATACATCATGGTACCATTTAGCAAATCATCTCATCCCACGGGAAATTCAAAGGACATCTCTTAGAATTGATTAGTGCATCCAGTGGTGGGAACAGACTTACTAAAGGTGGTTGGAGGGCTTTGGGGTTGATGCCTTTTGAATTGATTGGCCGAAGCATGGGGTCTGAGCTGATGGGGTGTACTTGTTGAACTGCAGGGTCTTGGGTAGCTATCAATCACCTTATCTGCCCTGAGAAGACACCAGGAACTCTAGGTATTTCTCTGTTATCTGTTAATCAGCTGTTGCTAGGAGAGTTTATTGCAAGGGGAGTTCATTTATTTACTTTTAGGAGCTTCTGGCTCAGAGTTCAGTGCCTGGTCAGGCCCAAGTTACAAGATGGAGGCCTAATTAAAAATAGTTATACCTTGATCCAGGCTCAGTTCTCACAGAATCTACTTGCTATGTCATTGTGTTCAATTTTTTTTTAATAAATCAAGCCCAGACTTTTGTTTATAAAAATCTATTTGGAGGAAGGATGATGGTATAAACCATTTACATTAGTTTTATCTTGACAAGTAAAGCATTATCCATAATGTAAGATTTGTTACTTGTGCCCCCTACTTCTTTTTCTTAAAGTGTATAAGTTTGTAATGTGGCAAAAAGAATATATGAATTATATAAAATATACATAAAAATTTCCTTTTATCTTTGCTATAAAGAAACTATTTCTCCAAAGGAAAAATCATGGCTGTCATAGACAAACTTATTCAATTAAAGATTGATAATAGGCCCACCTATATCTCTTCTGCATTCAATCATTTTTGTCAATTATGAGATATTAAACTTACTCATGGCATTCCCCATAATCCTGCAGGAAAGCCATTGCTGAGCAGGCCCATCATATGCTTAAAACCCTTCTTCAAAAACAAAAGAAAAGGGGGAAACACCCCTGGGGAGATTAATCATAAAATAGCCATTCTTTTATTTACACTTAATCATTTAACTTATTTTTCAAAATTCAATTCTGGACTATTTCTCTGTATCTGTATGTGCCTTTCAAGAAAATAAAAATTTAAAACAAATAAATTCAAGTTTGTATGATATTTGTGTATTTGAGGCAATTTTATCTTGCTGCTCACTATGAGGCTTGAGAACAAATGGGAAAAATTACTTCAGGTTGGAAATAAGCATATGTATTTTATCATTTTTATTGAATTCTTAACAGTGCCTATGTTTTATGGAACCATTAGTTCAAGTGATAAAAACTTACATACCCGAAATCATGTCAACATATCTAGCCATTTAACTAGAAAGACTCATAGGTTATTGTGCACCCCGTATCTGCTAAAATATAGCTTTTCTTATTTTTTATGATCTTTGAACCATTACTTGTCAATATCATCTACCATAATTGCTGGAATTTAGCCCCTCTTGATGGTTACCTCAGCTAAATCTGAGTTTCCCAGGAATCCTTCTGATTCTTGTCTTTCCTCCTTTACAACACTGAGTTGGGACAGAGAACCCTAATACATTGCCACCTCAATGCCCACAGTGTCCCTCATGAGTATAGAGTTGTCCTTCAAACTGTCCTGGATAGTTTTCAGGATGCCCACAGTCTATCTCAGATAGGAAGTTGCACTGCTCTCCCAGCCAACTAAACTGTTATATTTGACTTTCTAACTTCCCACAAAACACCTCAGAGCAAGTTTTACAATTATCAAGAACTTACTGAAGATTTTGAGATAAGTAGGAACATAACACAGGCACATCCCTGCATATCCATCAAAAAAAAAAAAAAAAACAAAGCTGCCTCATAAGCCTACATCAAGTTAGAAGACACCTCCATCTTATATTGTAATGATTCCATCAACTACACCAGGAAAACACCAGGCTTTGGAAACCTGCATAATTTGACTGTAGTCTCAGATAGGAAAAACAGTTTCATGTTTGTTTGTGTCTTAAGCACACTTACAAGGCCTATCCTGAAATTCGTATTCTCTGGATCATATTTTTTCAAAGATGGTGGCTCCCCTTGGGCCTTCTTTAAGAGATTTTAGACTGACCCCCTGAGACTCATGGACCCACTGGCTCCTTTCTGACCATTGGCCACAATTAAGGAATAGATGCCTTTAACCCTGGGACACAACCTATATAATGGTGCAGAAAAAGGCAAGCTCCATCAGGCACAGAGTGAGACCTCAGAATGGCCCTCCCCTCATGCAGAAGAGGCCTCAGCACTGCATAAACCACAACTACCTCATATCCAGCTCCATCCCTGCCAGTTACCCTGGGTCACTCAATGGGTCAGTCAGCTCTACTCTAATGTTCACCAGGATGAGCACTGTGATGGCAGCCAGAAACAGGGTTCCAACCCTGTGGAGACCTGTCTTATCTCAAGGCAGGTGTTTCTAAAAATGGTCTCACTACTTGGGTGAGATGCAGACAGACAACTCACTGTAGGATCCCCAACCTGTCTATGACTAGGCAGCAGCTCACATCCTTCTCCTCCCTAGGCCCCACCTGCTTCCCTCCTTTGTAATGCTTCAATGAACAAGAAGACTCAGGTGAATGACCAGAGGCACTTGGAGTCTTGGGGCAGCAGGGCAGCCTGTCTGTCCTGAGGGATCCCAGGGCCCTGTGACCACAGGCATAGAACAAGGTTGGATTCTTCCTCCTTTGTGGAGTATCCAGGTCTGTAACTGCTCATCTTTGGCTATGGTGTCTGTTCACCCTTTTGCCTACTACACCTTCAGGGCCCACATCTGCTAAAAGCTACGGGACAAAAATCTGTACATAAAGCAATACTGGATAACTGAAGGGAACTACTCCTCACAGAGCTCTTGTCAATTTCATCAAAGGAAGATTCAGGTCCACAGACAGGTGTATGACACCTGGAGTCTAGTTTCCAGAAAGGTGACTTCTTTAAAGTATAGGGACAGAGGGAGCATCAGACTTAGGGTCTTTGTCCAGCTTCCTTGACACACAGGAAGACTGCTCCTCACACAGATTGGGTTGTGAGTATCCTCCAGCAGCCACATTTTCCATCATAAAGGGCCATCACCATCCCATTATAGGTCATGAAGTCTCTGAGTCTGGTGCACCCACAGCTCTAAGATCACTGTTGACTACAATGGCTCCCCAGGGACTCATGTCCCTCCACAGATCCATATCAAAGGGAAATTTGCACCCATCCCACAGGGTCAGAAACAACTATATTCATATGCAGTTTACAGTGGACTCCACTGAGGGTACAGCAAATATCACCTTCCTCATTAGCCAGGAGAAATCAGGGCCACATACCTTGCAGGGACTGTCCCCAACTCAGCAGGAAATGAAGAAAGCAGGTTGCAGTCACCTGTGTCCTCCTGTGATGAATGAGCTTCCTAAATAAAAAATAAAAAAAAACCTCCAAGTCAGTAAGCCTCTAACTGCAGTAGAACACAGAGAGAGGGGTGCTGGGCAACAGTGACATCATGGAACCAGCCCTGTCACAATGGTACACTCCACAGATACTAGGGACAAAGTCAGCCTCCTCAGCCCACAGAATAACAAAAATCTCCAGGGATGGATCTTGGGGTCTCGGAAACAGGTGAAAAATAAGATCTGTGGTAGGTATTCCATGTGACCAGATATACCAGTGCCTTCTATCACTTGCTATACAAGGTCCTAGGTTCCTGCAATCCTCTACCTCCAACCCATTCTCCTTCCCCCAATGCAATTATATTTTGTAACAACTTTTTAAGCCCTTTTAATTTTGAATCAAAATTTTTGCAGTGAGTCCCCACACAAACCTACTACACCTTCCTAAGGTTCACATACTCTGCTTCCATTCCTTCAATAAGAACTGAGTAATACAATGGTAAAACCTCCTCCACATAAGAGTCTTCACACCAGCCCTGCTGATCCAATCTGATGCCTTCTGCTCTAATACTGCCCCATCTCTCTCGTGCTGTCAACATTGGGCTCCAGGAAGTCCTCCTGGAATGGTGGAAAGGGGAGAGTGTAACTGAGCACAGCCTGCCTGGGACCGTGAGCTGTACAATCTATAGGAGGAACAGGGACCTAAATTTTCTTGATGCAGGAGAGGGGTAAAGGGGTGGATCACTCTTACTTTTCCTGACACTCATGCACCCAACACTGAGGCTGATGTTGAGAGTACCTAGGATATCTGCACACTGTGAGGACCCTGACTCAGAGTGGCAGACATCCCTGTCCAAAGAGCAGCCCCATCTCTCCAAATCCTACTCTCCTCCTGTTCTCTTCTGGCCCCTGCAGAGGCAGCAAGAGACTGGTCAGTTTTCTGTAGTTTGGCAAACTCTAGCTCCTGTTGTACTCCAGCTGTTTCTTGCTCTCCCCACCTGGACTGCATTCCCCTGTGTAGTTAATGGCTGTGCCACTGTGCATGTGGATAAAATAAGCCCATGAGTGTCCTGTGGGTGTGTATGTTCTAGCACTCTAGCAGGGCCTTGCTGATTCATGCTCAATGTACAGAACTCATTGCCACTGTCACCTCTTGAATGAGACTTCCATCAGAGTTGCAGCAAGTGCTTCCCAGTTTTCCCAGCATACTCCAGAGGCCATCATGGGGAGGTACGTGGGAGCTGTCAGAGTCTGAAGCCCTATTAGGAAACACACCTGTTACTAGGAGGATCTAGGTAGCATGGTAGGAACAGAAAAATAAGTCACAAAATTCTACTCATATGTGAAATATAATAAAGCTGATCTCAGAAGTCAGGGTGTTTGGATAGTTACCAGAGTCTGAAGAGACTATGGTAAGAGAGGATACGGAAATGTAAATGGTACAAGTGATAGTAAAATCCTACACTACACATTGGGGATGAAAGTTCTGTTGTTGCATTGCACAATAGAGTGACAATGCATAATGATAATGCTTATTTAATTTAAATAAATGTTAAATGTTTATTTAGATACTATGCTCCTAAATCTGTATTTATGAAATAAATGAAATTTGTTTACCATAAGAAATTTTAAAACAAATGAAAATTAACAGAAAGAACTTTGTGTATTTTCACCATGAGAAATGATATGTTTGGGGACAATGCTATGGTGTAGCAGGTAAAGCCACTGCCTGCAGTGCCAGCATCCTATATGGGTGCTGGTTCAAGACCCAGCTGTCCCACTTCTGATCCAGCTCTCTGCTATTCCTTGGGAAAGCAATAGAAGATGGCCTAAGTCCTTGGACACCGTATCCACATGGAAGATCCAGAAGAAGCTCCAGGCTTTTGGCTTTGGATTGGCCCAGCTCCAGCCATTATGGACAATTGGGGAGTGAACCAGCAGATGGAAAACTTCTCTCTCTCTCTACTTCTCTGTAAATATGCTTTTCAAATCAATAAATGTTTTAAAAAAAGAAATAATGTTTGAGGAGATAGATTTGTTTACCCTGATTTGAATGTTATGCAATGTATGCATGTTTCTAAATAGTACATGGTGTCCCATAAATAGATACACAATTTTTATGTTTATTCATAGATATTTGTTTTTTGACAGAGTGGACAGTGAGAGAGACAGAGAGAAAGGTCTTCCTTTTGCCATTGGTTCACCCTCCAATGGCCACCGTGGCCGGTGCACTGCGGCCGACACATCGTGCTGATCCAAAGCCAGGAGCCAGGTGCTTCTCCTGGTCTCCCATGTGGGTGCAGGGCCCAAGGACTTGGGCCATCCTCCACTCCACTCCCAGCCCATAGCAGAGGGCTGGCCTGGAAGACAGGAACCAGGACAGAATCTGGCGCCCCGACCGGAACTAGAACTTGGTGTGCCAGCACTGCAGGTGGAGGATTAGCCTATTGAGCCACAGCCCTGGCCGTTTAATCATAGATAATATACATTTTCATCACAGTTTAAAATTAAAAATAAATAATTTGAAAAAAACACAAGAAAACAACCCCATATTTGCACAACCAAATACATATAGAGATCACAGCAGAATATAAGTGAAATATAAAACAGATTACAATAGAAAAATAATTTGAAAATAAGGACACATTAATATCTGGAATTTAAATGATTTTTTCTCAAAAGATTTTTGGATGATAATAAGAGAATATTAGGAAAATATCAAATAAACTGAATGTACTAGAATAAACCCCAGCAAGGAAGGTGAGCATGCAAGATTCAATGAAATTTGTTTTTAAGAATAAATTAAATGAAATAAAACTATTTACAAAAGCATTAAAAATATAAAATACTTGGTAACAAATAACAAATGTTATGTAATACTCCATGCTAGGAAAAACAAAATATTCCTGATAGTATATAAAGAAGATCCAAATGAAGTGGAAAGTTATAATACATGCATTGACTATAAAAGTCAGTGTCAGTGTGGTCATTGTCATGCAGTGGGTTAAGTTGCCATTTGGGGTGCTAATGTCCCATATTAGTCTACTTCTGATCAAATCTCACCTCCACATCTGATATAACTCTCTACTACTATGTCTAGGGGACAGAAAGGATACACTGAGTGCTTGGGCCCCTGCCACCCATGTGGCAGACCTAGATAGATCATTGTGTTTTTGAGTTTTGTTTTGTTTTTGTCTTTGTTTTGTTTTTGGCTTCACATAGCTCTGGCTATTACCAGTATTTGGAGAGTAAAACTACAGATAGAAGATTCATTTCTATCTTTCCCTCTGTCACTCTGACTTTCAGACAAATAAAGCTAAGAAAATTCAGTAATTCAAGACAAGAATTTCCCCAAATTTATTATTTTTTTTTTTTTTTTTTTTTTATCTTTTATTTAATGAATATAAATTTCCAAAGTACGTCTCATGGGTTACAATGGCTTTCCCCCCCATACCGTCCCTCCCACCCACCACCCTCCCCTTTCCCACTCCCTCTCCCCTTCCATTCACATCAAGATTCATTTTCGATTATCTTAGTATACAGAAGATCAGCTTAGTATACCTTAAGTAAGGATTTCAACAGTTTGTTCCCACACAGAAACATAAAGTGAAAAATAATAGATGATTTTTTTTTAAATGATGATGAATCAGATCAGACCTATTGTCATGTTTAATCCCAGTGAGAGTCAAGTTGGGAATTGATAGTTTCTTTTCTTTTTTTTTTTTTTTTTAACAGAAGATCAGTTTAGTGTACATTAAGTAAAGATTTCAACAGTTTGCACCCCCATAGAAACACAAAGTGAAATATACTGTTTGAGTACTCGTTATAGCATTAAGCCTCAGTGTACAGCACATTAAGGACAGAGATCCTACATGAGGAGTAAGTGCACAGTGACTCCTGTTGTTGACTTTACAAATTGACACTCCTGTTTATGGCATCAGTAATCTCCCTATGCACCAGTCATGAGTTCCCAAATTTATTATTTTAAAATATGAAGAAATGCCATCACAATTTCAACAACTCTGTGTGTGTGTCCTCATGAAAAAATCACCTTCTAATTGAAAAACATACTTTAAAATGAAAAGGACATAAAATAGTAAAGCTAATTTTAAGAAAGATCAAATATTGTGATTTTCAACTACCTCATACCAAGAGTTAAAATGGGGGTATGACAGTTTGGCATGGTGCATAAAGCTGCTGCCTGTGATGCTGACATCGCATAAGGGTGCCAGTTCATGTTCTGGTTGCTCCACCTCCAATCCAGCTCTCTGCTAATGCACTTAGGATAGCTGTGGAATATGGCCCAAGTGCTTGAGCCTCTGCATCCACATGAGAGACCCAGAAGAACCTCCTGACCCCTGGCTTCAGCCTGGCCCAGCCCTGACTGTTGTGGCCATTTGGGGATCAAATCAGCATGTGGAAGATGTCTCTCTCTCTGTCTCTCTCTCTCCTCTCTCTCTCTCTCTCTCTCTCCCCCTTTGTGTTTGTGGAGGGTGTCTCCTTCTCTCTCTGTAACTCTGTTTTTCAAATATATGATTACTAGAGTCCAAAAACCGACCTGAACATTTCATTTGATGATATTCAGCTAATGCACTCATGTAATCAAAGTGTTAAAGGTTAAACTTTTCTCTAAATGGTACTGCTCACTTAGATATATCTGTGGAATGAAGTTTACCTTGATCCCTGAATGGCAACATACAAATACACATTTAGTAAATTATAGACTTCCTGGCAAAAACAAAAACAGTAAAACTTCAAAAACAAATTATAGATGAAAACCATGCTGATTATATCATTGGCCAGTATTTCTTAGATATCAAAAAAACACATGCATCACAACAGAAAATTGTACATTAAAATTTTAATATTTAATTCCTCAGAAAACACTACATCCTGTCATGTACTTAATAACAAAGCTTCAGTGAAAGACATACCACGTAAAAACCCCAAGTCATCCCATAAGATTATATTGACAAGTAATGGCATAGATCTTGTCTTGTGTAGATATGTTTTGTGATGTTCATCAGTAACAAAATTGCCTAATGATGCATTTCCCAAAATGTATTCTCATTGTAATACATGACCATTACATGGAAGCCATTTATTTGGGGAATAAATTCACCAAAATTTGAATTTTGTATTTATATTCATTTGATTTGAAAAGCAGAGAGAGATACACACAGAGAGAAAGATATAGAAAGAGAAATAGAGGAGCCAGAAGTGTGGTGTAGGGGGTAAAGCCACCCCCTGCAGCACTGGCATCCCCTATGGGCTCCAGTTAAAGTCCTGGCTGCTCCATTTCCAATCCAGCTCTCTACTATGGTCTGGGAAAGCAGTGGAAGGGCCTTGGGCCCCTGCACTTGTGTGAGAGAGCCAGAAAAATCTCCTGGCTCTGGGCTTCAGATTGGCCCAGCTCCAGCTTTTGTGACCATTTGGGGAATGAACTAGCAGATGGGAGATTTCTCTGTCTCTGCCTCTGCCTCTGCTTCTCTGTAACTCTGCCTTCCAAAAAATAAACAAATCTTTTTTAAAAGTAGAGAAATGGAGAGGGAAATACAGTGACAGAAGATCTTCTCTATGCTGCTTCATTCCCCAAGGGATTGTAACAGCCTCACAGTGCCTAATCAAAAATCATAGCCCTGGACTCAATCCAAGCTCCTGTATGGATAGTAGGATCCAAAGTGCAGCCAAAAGTTGCAAGCAGGCATTTGGATATGAATGTAGGTATCCCAAGCAGCATCTTACCTGCTACACCAAATGCCCACAGCCAAGCCAAACTTTTTTAAATTGGACATATGAAGAACTCTAATAATTCAATAATAATAAAATAGTAAGTCCTAGGATACATGAAAAATACTTGAAAAGATGTTTTAAAGGAGGTTTATGTATGCCTACTAGTGTCAAGAAAAGAAACTCAACATAAGTCCTATTAATGGAAGTTCAAATTAAAACACTTTCACATATCACTAAATACCAGCAGATTGACTAAATTTAAGAAGACTGAGGATACCAAACATTGGTGAGGATGTGGAATCACTGAAACTTTCATATATTGCTGTTCAGAATATAAATGGAACAACAGTTTGGTGGCTTGACAAATTTACACAATTAAAACAAGTATCACGGCCGGCTTCCCGGC